CTTTGCTAAAATGTTGAGTACTAACTTAGTATGCATTCCTCGAATCGAAACACAGGCATTCAGATTAGAAAATAGTAACTGTTTATGGAGAAAATTACGATCATATACCACCAACATCACTTTAAACTCGTTCACAGGCATGTCAGAATATTTCCCATATAAAATAAATAAATTGTCAGGACAATGAGTCAAAAAAGAGGACTGTCCCGTATAGTACAGGACGGATCACCATACCTATACTAGACTGTCTCGTTTTGATTTCGGAATGCTTACACGAGAAGTTCGGTTTCTGTCAATATAAAAGTATTACATATATGATTACATCATATTTAACCGACTTCAAAAATGGAGAAGGTTATCAATTCGTTGGAATATTTTTATACCCGAGCGCACTTGTGCACAAGGGTATTATAACTTTGTTCACATAACGGTTGCTTGTAACAGGCAAAACGAATCGAGATAGATATAGACAAATGTATACATAAATCATCAGAATAAAAAGAGAAATCGATTAAGCGGTGACTGTCTGTCCGTCCGTCCGTCCGTCTGTGCACACGATAACTCGAGTAAAAATTGAGATATCTTAACGAAACTTGGTACGTGCACTTCTTTCGGGCGTGGGACGGATGGTATTGCAAATGGGCGAAATCGGACAATAACCACGCCTACCTCCCATATAAAGGCAATTTTCAGAAATACAAAAACTGCGATATTTTAGTAACTACTGAAGATAATTCACTAAAAATTGATAGTTACAATGATTTTTAGACGAAAAATAAGAATATTAATAAAAATTTTTTAGAAAATGGGCGTAGCCACAATGGCACAATTGTTGGCTCTGGTACAGCATACCAAAGGACGGAACATTTTTAAAATCGGACAATAACCATGGCCACATCCCATGTAACGGTAATTTAGAGAAATACGAAATCCTCGATATCAGTAAATATTAAAGCTAATTTATTCAAAATTGGTGCTTGCAACAATTCTTTACCAAGAAATACGTTTATGATAAATTTTTAGAAAATGGGCGTGGCACCGCCCATTTATGATCACATATATGTATCTCGGTAACCGTTCTAGCAATTTGTACCAAACTCGGTATGGTTATTGTGCTTGCCACATAAAAGCAAATCATCGACATATCTCGCGTAGAATTATACTCCTATCTATGTCTAATAGAAGGAAACAAAGAGAAACAGATACTAGACTATCTCAACAAACAACACCAGAATATAAAATTCACCATGGAAACGGAAGAGGAAAGAAAGATTAACTATCTAGATTTAACAATTAAAATAAACGATACCACGAACAAGATAGAGTTCGAAATATACAGAAAACCAACAGCCACAGACACAATTATACACAATAGCTCAAACCACCCACAGCAACACAAAAATCCAGCATTTAGACAACTAATAATGAGGCTTGAAAGGACCCCTCTAACAGAAGAAGACTACAAGAAGGAACTGGATACAATATATGCCATTGCGGAAAATAACGGATATAGGAGAGGCCTGGTGGAGAAGTTAAGAAAGGACACAAAATCGAAAAAGACTAGCAAAGAGGAAAACAATAAAAAAAAAAACTTGGGCAGTTCTAACTTACCCAGAAAAGACATCTTACAAACTTGCCAAATTCTTTCATAAGTATGACATTCCGACATCATTTATAACAAGGAACACAGTGGGAAATATATTGAAAGAGAAAATAAGCGAGGAAGACCCGCTAGATAAACAGGGTGTTTACAAGTTAACCTGTGAGTGCCGACACAGTTACATAGGACAAACAGGGCGAAATATAAGAACAAGGTATCGAGAACACATAAGGGATTATAATAAGAAAAAACGAAACCCAGAGGTTGCAATAGAATCGAACTTCGCGAATCACATGATCAAAAATAAATGCACACCAATGAAGATTGGACAAACAACAGAACTTCTCCGTGTACAACATAAAGGACAAAGATTGAATATATTATAAAATATGGAAATATATAAACAGAAGACCTTCAAAGGACAAATAATAAATGAGCATATAAATACTGTATCGGACGTACTGTTTGAACCTCTAAAACTACTGTACGAGACGAAAAATGACAACAACAAAATATTAAGGACAGACATGGAAGGGAATACACCAACTGCAAAAACAAAGAGGGTAAAAATCACGGACTTTTAACTGCCGTCAAAAACGAGCCAAAACAATTCATCTACCTATTGAGCACCGCAAACACTGCAAAACTAAAAAGACGTACCTAACAAAAGAAAGAGGTAGTTACGAGCAACCAAGAAAAATTATGCAGAACGAAAAATGACACTGAAGATGGCACAACGCCGAAACCGGTTTGTCTCCAAACCAAATTTGACAAGGGATGACGGAAATTCGTTCCAAAGTACATCATACACCCACCCTGTCGGAAACAACAACAACCAAAAAGGAAAGACGCTAATTTACTTAAAATGTATACACCCCGGCTTATCATGTAGCGGTAGCTTTCGGAAAGGTGGAAAACATATATTTAATACTTGCGCCGGGTATTTAATGTTCGGCTCCGCCCGAACTTACACTTTCTTACTTGTTTGTATTTGTTTTTATGTATGTCACCTTATAACTTTGGAACACGTCAATTAATTTCGATAAATCGTTTTGCATCGGAAAGGTAGTACATATCTCACAGGTGGTTTACATCCGATTATTGAATCATGAAAAAATTATCCGTACTCCTAAATTTTTATATGAGAATTGAAGTCGGTTTTGTTTTTTGCTTAGAAATCACTGGTTTTGTTTTTGTTTTTTTTTTGGCTGAGAACATTTGAAATAAAAACAAGTATTTTTTAAGCAAAAAACAAATTCGACTTCAATTCTCAAATAAAAATGTAGGATTATCGTTAATTTCTTAATGATCCAATGATCGGATTTTAACCAAATTAGCAAATTACCTGTGAGGTAACATCTTTCCTTAAAACAAAAAAGAATTATAGAAATCGGTTAACGTGGTCCAAAGTTATGCGGTAACATACATAAAAAAAATATTTCGATGAATTGATAACCTTTTCCTTTTTGTGAAGTCGGTTAAAAATTACGGCAAAAATGTGTATTTTTAAATCTTTAGTGAAACATTTAAGGATATTGTTCCTACAAATTGTAGTGCGACTATATTTTTAACCGGCAAAGTAAAACGAAACACTTTCAGGAAAAAACGAAAATTTCGTTGCAGTCAATAAACATGCGAAAATTTAAAACGAAAACGTTTTGTATTAGAATTATCAAAACTACTTATGAAGCTGAAAAACTTTTCATCTGCATTATTTGTCGGAAAAAATTTTGTGCAGGTGCTTCAAGCTATATATACAGCATCAACTTCTTCAGCAAAAGGGCGCGGAAATAACATCTAACCACTTAATAAAGATACGTTGCTGAACGGCGCACTTTTTTGATTTGAGAAAAGTTTTGGTAATTGTTATTTGCAAAAACAAATTCTAATCCCCAGCGAGAATCAATTAGCAGGACCTCCCTGGAGAAAAAGCCAGAACATGTGTACATATCTTTTCGTTATTAAGTTTTGTAACTAATTTATATGTCAGTATATATACATACATACATACATCCTACATAGATCATTAAATGAATGACAATATATCGTCGATGTTTTTGCAAAACCGCTCATCGCCCAATTGCAAAACCGCCTATCTTACGGCACTCAAATTTTACAGGAGAGCGAAAAAACGGTTTATTCTTTGAAGGCATTGCCTTGATAGGCGGTATTTTCTCTAGCTATTATTTTACAAATATGTTGTTTTAATACCGATTTAACAGTTTTTAATGCATAAATCTCAATGCCTGGAGTTCAGGGTTACCAAATCCCATAACGGCGATTTAGGCGGTTATGCAACTGGTCAATGGGCGGTTTTGCAAAAACATCGACGATATGTATATTTTTCAATATGAAGTAACTTTGTGTTTTAATCAAAAAATTTAGGAAGAGCCTGCCCGAAACTTGAAATAAAGCAAATGAATGTATAGAATTGACAACACGCTGTCAAGTTTAAATAGCGGCAAATCAGCTGCACTTGATAGCATGATAAAAACATTACAAGGTAAATTCATTCTCTCAATTCGTCGGCCATGATTTTGTTCTGACGTTTGCCAACATTTTAAAATCATATAAAATTGAAAATAAAAAAATTAAATTGTTCACAATTGTTGTTGTTTGAGATTGAAAATGAGAATGTGTGTGTGAGTTTGAGTTTTGATTTTAAAATTATATTGTTGGCAAACGTCAGACTGCCTCTCAATGGTTTTACCTTATTATGTTTTTATCATGCTTGATAGTAGTAGGTTGAATAAGGAAATGAATTAGCAATAAGACTTTACGGGGTGTGCATAGCTCAGTGGTTAACGCTTCTGACTTTGCACATCGATGACGCCGGTTCGATCCCTGCTGAAGTCTAAAAAAAAGAAGTTGACAAGATGTGGTGATCTCCAAAATAACTTCTACCGCTTAGACTTTGTTGCTTTTTCCATTTTTCCTAATAAACAAAATCGTAGTACAAAGCTCAATAACAATATTCAAAGTAGAATCATATTTATTTATCATATTTGAAAACGAATATTTTTAAACACAAAATAAACATTTCAAAATCTCATCTAAATATGGGAATTTTCAATTACCAAAAGATCATTTTAAAAACCGATTTGAAAATGTATGTATTAAAAACTAAACTATTAATTTTGGATAATAAATTAAAAACGTTTGCTTTCGAAGCTAAAATAAAAATTTTAGCTGCAAAACATGGATCAAAACGTGTTTAAAAATAAAATTTCAGCATAATTGCATTATAAGTAGTTTCTAATGATTTGCTTTTCTCAAAAATCCGTGACTTAGCGAAATCTTCGCGGTAAACTTGACGTGGCCTTACTTCTATATGAAATCAATTCATTGTCCGGTTCTAAGATAAAAGTTTTTAGGAAAATGGACTTACATCTCAACGTACCTTTTTCTTGTTTGTATTTTTTCACGTGCGAGCGTCGTGATTCCTGCACAGCTGCCAGAGTTCCCAGTTCCTCCTGTTTTCGTCTTGTCAACGTGCCAGGTATATAGAATTGAGAATTGATATTTTCAATATCTTCCTGGAATAAAAAATATCAGAATAGGATAACAAACAAATTTTTCCACAAAGCTCAATAACATTGCTAAAAGTAAATACTATTACGCGACAATAATAACAACAAGGATAGGATCAGTCCAGCGCCTTCGTCTTGGCCTGGGGCTGTATCGGAGCCACAGCCCGTAAGCATGAAGAATACGTGATATTATCAAGAATACATTAAGGTTAAAAACTGTGCATAAAATATTCATTTTGATTGTATTGAATTGAATTTAGTAAAGCAATACGAATACAAAATAAAAATAATTAGCAATAGAGAAGCAGACCCACATTAACTTCAATAATATGGACCATCTGCTAATAAATATCAAATAAAACACCTCTTCAAGGTAAGAAGTAAGTAAGGTAGAAACACAAAAATTATGATATCAATTTCGTGACGAAAAGTATACGCATTTTTTTAACTGCCTTGGAAACTGTAGTGATAGAACTTTTTAGAAAATAACGATACTAGTACTCATTTAGAATACTCTATAGAAGAATCGATACCAGTACTCACAGTTCCAAAAATGTATCGATAATACAAACGCGAAAAGTAAAAAAAAAATCAGATTGGTTTGCTTTTATGACCTCTTCCTATTTGTAAATTGAATAGACATTGTTTTAATAGTTGACATCTGATCAAACAAGCATTTCTACAGGAGTTTTTGAAGTAAACTTGCAATAAGTTTATTTCTAAAAGTTTAAAATAACTGTTTATATCAAAAAGTTTATTTAAACACTTTAAAAGCAAATATTTTAGATAGAAACAATTGTGGTGAAGCCCATTCTCCAAAGGAAATATAAGCTCTCTTCCACAATTAATTTTTTTTAGAATGGACTGCATTTCGAATTTACAACGAAGGTAGAATACATTGAATAACGAATGCTCCGTTACACTAAGGAAAGAGACTCGTGTTCATATAAAGGAATTTTTAACCGAGGACAGCGTTGAAATTACCTCTACCTCTTCTTCTATGTTGTGTAAAAAGTTCATAGCTATACCGATTACCAGTAGCTCGCTTGAACAAAATACATATAATTTTTTTCTATGAGAGTATATTTAAATTCAAAACTTTAAAGCTGTTTTCCTCGAGTTTTTGGTTTATTGAGTTATGACAGTATTGAAGTAAATGAGTGTTATGTTCATTTAAACGACATTCATATTGGATATCGAAATAATTTTCGAACATTTGCCATAATGTTTTTTGGGTAATTCTTAAAAAATGTTCAATGTAAGTAAAAGAACGGAATTGTTTATGTAATTTGAAAATTTTATTTTTTACTTAAAAAGTTCTTAACGATATTTACTCAGTACTTGTCAAAAAGTATCGAGTTCTCAATACTACTCAGTACTCATGAAAAGTATCTATATTCTGTACTCGGTACTCGTATCGTTCTATCACTACTGACGTGGAATATTTTTATTCATTTGAATCAAGGCACATTGAACAGGTAGTATCAGTGGAGCAGCTGATTTAATTTTTTTCAAATTATTTGCTCTCGAAAATGTCAAATAATTTTTATTACTGGCTAACCAGAATGGTGAGGCTGTGGCAGAGCTGTCAAAAGTTAAAATATTCTAAATGCTCTAAGCTACCCACAATATGTATGTAGCTGTGGTTGTAGTGTATTATTGCTGATGTAGCTAGCGAAATAGCTAGTAACCGTGGTACTGCATTCTGGTTAGCCAGTTATTCTCAAAAAATTCTAAATTCTTAAAATCTATTTGAATGTGAAACCTTTTTCCATAGAAAACAAGCGATTGAATAGCAGCTTTTGAACATTCGCCCAACTCAGCAGCACAGCCGCTGGGCCTTGCAAAGGATGGATCAATGCTTCGACAAGCAAACAAATTTACTAAGGAAGAAAGTTGGAATAATTTTTATTTGTAGCCAATTTCAATTTCACATGACACGCTTTGATTTAGAAGAAACAAATCAGAACAGTTTTTGACACTTTCGATACCAGAAGCAACAACAAAATACACGGAAATGTTTTTGCTCTAATGCTACTACCTGTTGGATATGCCTTGATTTGAATCCATGATACAAAAATTTAAAGGTAAAACCATGGTACAATAATTACAGGTATTGTCTTCCCAGAGAGCGCATACTCCGATCTGCCTTATTTGAAAAATATCATTGTTGCCCACACTAAAAAGTTTACTGTAAGGGAAAAGGGATATTTCTGTTCACCATATACCATATATGATGTCCATGTATTTTTTTTAAACAAATCCTCTTGCAGAGAACTTATTTAATTAAAAAGCCGAAAAATAAACATTTGCTTAGTAAAAAAAAACAAAAACTTTTATTGCTCAATTTATTTCAAACGTTTTTTCTTTTTTTTCGAAAAATTATAAAAATATAATTGAGTGAAAACCAAAAGCAAAGCCACCTAAAAGTAAAAGAATCAACATTGAAATGCGTCAAAATGAAAATAAGGGAGCACGAATTTCGATGTGAAGCAAAACTATCTGGGAAGACAATACCTTTAATAATTGTACCATGAGGTAAAACCGCTGAGAGACAGCCTGAGCAAATAAAGCAAAATTGAATATTTTCATCTATTTATTTTGTGTTTTACTTTTAAGTGGCATTTGAGTTGCTCTGAAAATTTCAATTTTATAAAGTAGACAAACTTCAAAAAAAAAATCATGGCCGACGATATGAGCGAGCGGTTTTCCCTTTAAATACTTGTACCATGTTTGAGTCGTTGCTAAATTTCTGTAATTTTGTGTTTCCAAGTAGGCGGAACTTTAAACGTTCCAAACAAGGCGAATTCATATAAGGTGGTATCGATTCAACAAATACAACAATTACTTGTATTTTGTTTTTGCTTTTAGCTGGTCATTGTCAAATTTCAGCTATTCTTCTCCGAATGAAAAAGGGCGACAGAAAATGCAAACACTCTCACGTTTTCACTCACTCACTAGCAAAATATAAAATTTTGACAATCAAACGCTACTCACAGCTGATTAAACAACACCACCTTATATAAATTCGCCTTGCTTCCAAAAAATCAAAAATATTTGCCGTCAGTTTTCAAGATAGTTAAAGAAATGTGTATAATTTTCGTCACGAAATTGATATCTTAAATTTCGTGTTTCTAGTTCAGCTTTCGTCTCTCGAAAATTTTACCTCAAGAAGGTGTTTTATTTGATATCAGATATTTTGGAATCCCAAATTTAAAATCAACGAAAATTTAAACAATAATCTAAATGTTTTATTTTTCTCAAAATCGAAATGATGTATCCAAATCGATGTGTCCATTGAAACATATAATTTTTCGAATACGGAATAAAGCGAAGAAGAATAGTAATATCCTTTGTATCCAAAAAATTAGAAATTAAAGAAAAATAAGTGTGAAAAATTATAAAAACTTGTCAACTTGGTACCAACATTAGATACAGTAAATAAATAACTGTATTCGTCTCGTTCTCTCCTAGTTTAATTTTATTAGGGTTTCTACCAGAAGTTTCACTTCTATCACGTTTTTTACCGAAATCACCAGGAAAAGTTACCACATTCAACAAAACATTACCAAACTTACTTTAAGTGAGAACTGTGTCTGTACATACATATGTATATTCGAAGATACCAAGTTTTTCAGGCAAGCAGCGCTCAATTCGGTTATAATTTTTATATTTTCGCGAACTAGGGTTGCCAGATTTTTTATGCGTGAAATCGGTACGTTAGACTTTTTCATGGTAAGAACTACTTTTCAGTACATTTTTATTCAAAGCACAATTATGAATGTGAGTATCAGATAATACTTTAAAGTGCCAGAGAAGTTATTTGTAACAATATTTTGGTATATAAGTAAAATATAGTTCATAAAAAATAAAAGTGGTATTCATTTTAACCTGAGTGTATACATCATTGTACGCTGTATTTTATATTTATGAAATTTTTGAATAGCATAATGAGGTAATTTCCGTCTCAGTGTTTAAATAGTCAAAGAATTATTTATGTTTATTTTTAATATTACTTTTAATATGAAATTCACTTTAAAAATTTTTAATTAGAAGCCGGTTTCTCTCTTGGCGCCAGGAAGCAAACTTTATACTTAAGATCTTCTCAGTTGCTTCGTTTGAGTGTGGTATTAAAAAAAAAACAAAATTATATATTTTTTTAAACTGTGGAAAAGTACCACTATTTAGAGACTTCATCTATAACTCCGAATGGCTTAAATTAATTTTTTCAACTACGCAAAAACTTTGAAAGACTAAGAATTCGCTAAAAAGATTTTCTAACTCTATGTCTTGTATGCAAACCTCTTTTACAATGTCAATATACTGTGAAAAAAGAATTGTTAGTTATAGGCAAAAGCCATTCGAATATTCAAATTGGTTGTTATTAAACTGAAAGTTATTTTCGAGATAACTAGCAACACTCGACAAAAAAAACATCAGCCTTCTTTTTAAATAATTTAATACCCATCATAGGGATGGGTAGTGGGGGGTTTAAATTCGATTTTTTCCGAATTTCCAACATTGTCTAAACATTCGATTATTCGATTAAAAGTTTTGTGATAAAAAATTCGATATAATTTGAATTTTTTCGAATTTTCAACAATTTTCCTACTGAAAATTTAAAAGTTTGCTTATAAGAAGGATCGAAAAAGAGATTCTATTGAACTTACATTAAAGTGATTATAAATACAAATCAGAAGTATTTTTTTTTAATTAACAAAATGCATATTGAAACTAATTTTTTGGGACGTATAATGTACTTATATTTATTTCTCTAGCTTTACAAGAACAAAAGAAATTTGTACATACTTCACGTTACATACATATACATTGTATGTATGTTTGTACTTTTACAACGAATAGAAAAGTCTTACATTTGATGAAAAGGTATGATTTTGCTTTTTAAGGCGAGATCTTTAAGTGAACAAGGAATAAAAAACTAATAATAGGGCGTGAAGAGTTCTATCAAGCCACATTTTTGGCAAATGTGATACCACAGATACTGA